CGAAGCTTCGAGGGCAAATATGCTAGTTTTAAGAACATCAAATTTCCAAGGGGCAACTATCAGACCGATAGTTCCGAGACATAAACACTGTATTGTCCTTATTGTTCACCACTAAATTTTCTTCCGCGCGCCAGTTCAAAAATCATATTGAATTATTTTCAAATTAAAATAGAAGAAAGCCGTGAAAGCCAAATGTAAAATTTAAAAAGGAAAATAAACAAAACCCACTTAATACAATTTCACTTGTTGATTTTTCTTATAAGCTCGCCTGTTTACAGAAAACTTTTTACGGACAAGTACTATCCATCCGGGTATTTTCCTCGGATGGGCACTATGGGCTAATAGTGTCTCTCCGCGGATAAACACTATCGCGTCACGTGATCAACTTAAACCAATAAGAATCGGAGAAAATATAGTGGTGAACTATAACTAACCATGGAGCCCGTCCGAGGAAAACACCCAGATAATTTCTCTTTAAGAAGCGGGCGTACAGAAAAAAAAAATTGAAAGGCGCAATTTGCTGTAATAAGTGAGCTTTTTTGTCTTCGCATTTGGCTTTCATGCCTTTCATCTTAAACAGTTGAAAATAATTCAATACGATATTTGAACTGGCGCGCAAAAGAAAATTTAGTGGGGAACAATAAAGACAATAGAGTGTGCGTGATTATGTCTCGGAACTATCGCTGATAGTTGCCCCATTCTCGGGCAAATATTTGTCTTAAGAACATCAAATTTCGGCGGGGCAACTATCAGCCGATGGTTTCTCGATAGAAACATTCTTTTGTTTAAATAGTTGAGTGAAAACTACTCTATGAAAAGAATTGTTATAGGATTTGTCCAGCCGATGCGTATGAATAAGTTCACTTCGCACGGGCCACGTATCTTCAAGATTCGCGTGTTTGACCGATTGACACTCCAAACTGAATGCATTGAAGAGACTTCGCATTTATTTCCCTATTCATTTATTCAATGCGTCCCCAGTAAAGCGAGTAGCGAAATTGCGGAAGAAGTATTCTTACGCGCGCGCGAGGACGGATCATTTTGTTATTATGACGCTTTTTTTTTAGTTCGAAAAGTGCGTTCGCTATGGCGTTGGTGACTTTTTGGTTAGGCTTTATTGCCGTGCAGACAATTGCGAAAACTGTTTCAAAGTGTATTTTTGGAGAGAAAAGAGAAGAAAGGTAAGTTATTCAATATTCTTATTAGGTTTATGGTTGTGAGGCCTTTTAGCTAGCAATAGAATTCTTCTAGATTCTTGTCTTTGCATTTGCAAATACAAAACTCTTGTTTTGAAAACTACCGTAATACGCTTTTGTCCGGCGCAAAAAAAGGAACGACTTGTCGTTTGAAAAATGTTAACAGTAGCTATGACGACGTAAAGCAAGCAAGTAAACTCTTACGGTTTTTTCCAGGAAAAGAAAGAACATCCCGGGTCAAATGTTAACTTCAAGTTGAAGTATGGAAAAGAAATAACTCTGATGATCACCATGGCAACTGATTAAGTTCTTTGTTTTTATTTCAGTGGCGAAGTACCACAAGAGATTGTGTTGAATGGAAAAGACCAGGTAAATATTATTAACCGTTGCTGTTCAGAGAAAGCTGTTCCTCATTCACTTCTGGCTCAAGATGAAATATAAAGTCTTTTGTAGTAAAACCTGCCGGCTGACCAAATTCGAACTTCGAGATGCTAATTGCCGGAGGCGGGTAACCCTTGAGTTCCACTGGTTATTTTAATTTTCCCCCATTCTCCAGTCCTGGGAACAATTACCATCACTAGGTGCAAGCGAAGGCCAGAGGTTCAGTGCTTTTTTTAAAAGTCTGGTTTGCACCTGATGCGGAACTTTCAATTGATAGAATAAGAAAAACA